ACACTTTAATGTGTACACCCTTAAATTGCCAGAAGTGTAACTGCTAGTAAGTACATATCTAGTTTTTAAAGAAATATCCAAGCTATTTTCCAGAATGTTGGTACGACTCTCTTTTCCCACCCACAATGAATAAGTGATCCAGTTTCTCCACATCCTTATCAGAGTTCAGTGTTGTCACTACTTTTAATTTTAGCTGTTCGTATAGGTGTGGTGATAGCTCACTGTGGTCTTAATTGGCATTTCCCTAATGACTAGTGATGTTGAACATATTTTTGTAAAGACATGAAGTTTATAATTGGTTTCAGGGTTCCTTTTGGCAAATCATTTCACTCTCTCCAACCCTCAATTTTTTTTTTCATCTGTAAAATGAGAAAATTTAACTATATCACCCCTAAACAACCCTCCAGCTATAACCACTAGATCCACCCTGGGTGAGTTTGTTTGCAAGGTGAGGAGCTTTTAATTTTCCCTTTGGGCACCAGCTATTCCCATCTGCCAAGCATTGACAAGTAATGAATCTCAGCCATGGCCTTCATTGACATTTCCATGAAATGTGTGACAACTCCCTACGGGCTTCATTTGGCCCGGAGGCCTTATTCAGCATTTAAGTCACATCATCAAAGGCTGAGCAAAAAGACTCGGGCTTTCAGGAATTTATAAGGGGCTTTATTGATTTTCTGATTCATTGTAAAATTCTTATTCCTTTGTTCTCAAGGTTCACTACAGAGCAGGGTTTTGAGTAAGTGATACCTTACAATTTTCATCAAGCATCCACCGAGTGCCTACTGTGTGCTGACAGAGTGGTGCACTGGAAAGAGCACAAGCCATATATGGAGAGGGACTTGGGTTTGAATCATGCCTCTGCTACTTAGTAAGTAAATGTGACCTTGGCAAGAAACACAACTTATCTGAACTTCAGCAACGTGAAGGTAACACCTGCTGACAAAGTGTTATCAGGAATAGAGATAACCTATGTAAATCCCCAGTTCATAGTAAGCACTCAATAAATGGTAGCTATGATTACGTGGGACATAGGGAGTACATCCTGGAGAAAACCTAGAGGACAAGAGACATGACCTGTGCCACACCCGGTGTACTGTGCCTACACGCATGCACACACACACACACACACACACACCCCTCAGTTAATTTCTACATTAACTAATGCTGGGAGACAGATAGTTGCAAACCTGGTTTTATAAAACGGAGGCTGAGAAGTTAAATAATTTAAGATCACCCTGATACTAAGTGAAGGAGATGGAATTCAAACTGTGTCCTTAAAGGGTTTATAGTCTAGCCAGAGAGATAAGCTGGGCAGAAATAGATAAGTACCAACGCAGAATGGCCAAGTGCCAGTTGAATAGCAGAGCCAAAAAGCATTTACCAGTTTAGAGAGGGAGTTCATTCTGAGGATTGGCCAACTGGGGAAAGCAAAAGGAAACAGGATTAGAACTTGCTCCGTCTCCCTGAATACCCTTGAGTTCCTAGATGTCACCATCACAACTGCTTGTTGGTCCTGGAAGCCCAGCCCAGCTGCTGCGGGGACAGAGGCAGCCCTCAGCTCTCCCAGTCCCCCCTTCTCTCCCTCCTCCGTCCATTAATGGAATATTCATATGCAGGCCCTCCCATTTCACTCTGAAGTTTTATCCAACCTGTGTTTTTCAGCATTATCACAAAAGGTCACTGTCAGAGTGGTAATTCTTCTATTAACACAAAACCCAGGTCTATTTTATAGAAATATGTTCTAGATTATCTTTCTTGAAATCCTTTTCTATGATGTGAGCTTGAATTGCTTATAAGTGTATGTCTGGGCCATTTCTGCACTTGGTAATTTTCAAAACATCTCTTTTGGGCTCTATTGCCTATGTAGTCTGGCTCACAGTGGGTACTGCTGAAATTCATTTTGCCAATATACTGTGTATTGAATGGTTCCTATGTGCCAGGCACTGGAACATAGAATGTATGTTCTATGAATGGCTGATTAACTAATGAAGGCCATAAGAATCTAATTTGAATATCAATATCCATGGCAGATTATTAGTAAATAAACTCTGCAGCATTAATGGAAATATAGTGTATACAGTGACATACAGAAAAACTCCCAATTCCTTGCGGCAGGAAACAATCCTTGACAATTTCATCATTGGGCGTATAAACACGTCATCATGTAGATGGACTTTGAGTTAGCAAAGCTGGGCAAATTCACACATCTTTGAAATTTGATCTTAATTTCAATTGCAAAGGCCTAAATTGGGTTAGAGCAGCTTGCCTTCTGTCTTCACCGCTCCTCATTCCTCAGGGATCAATGACTAATTCATTCTTTAAAAGTAAGGTAGAGGGCAGCCCAAAGACTCAGCCTCAGGGATTCCATCTGGTTTGCAACTTCCTGTGTGTAATGCACAGACCATGTATTTTAGCTGTTTTGTGAGTAACAGAGTACAGGCTTTAAGGTCTTTTAAAGCATGTCAAAGGGTTCTATTCAGCAGCTGATGAGACTCCAAATGTTTTCCTTTTTATTATTCCCAGCCCTCCAAGTTTCTCCAGAATTGTCACCGTTTAGAGTTAGTGTCTTTTCACGTTGTTCCCAAAATTCTCTATTTATGCTACTGTCATGTTGCTCAGGAAAAAAAATAGAGCTTTTATTCAGTTCGGGTAACACCTTAGATCCACACTGGTACACCTCAAAAAGGAAAAAAAAGCAAAGACTGCCTTAGCTAGAAGTTGAATCTCTCATTTCTTTCTTGGTTTCACTTCCTTTTCCATTCTGGTGGCTTCCCATTTTGGTCTGTGGCCTCCTGTTCCCTCAATTTATTTTCCGTTTGAGAAGCTGTTTTCTCTAAAGCTGTTTTTCTTCTTGATTGTTCTCACTCTCTGGCCCTGTTTTGCTTCTTCAGAGGTCTGGCTGCTGCCACGGCACTGGCCTCAGACCCAGCCTCTGCTTGCCAGGGATCCAGGCCAACCTGGCCTTCCACTCAGTCCCTCAGCTCCACTGTCCAGCTCCAACCGGCTCAGCTCAGAACCTTCTGGTCCCTAACATTCTCTCACACAAAACCCTGCCAAGGGACAAATGCAGAAGCTCCTGCCTAATGGGCTCGGCGAACACGGAATTCAGGGAAGGAGGGGGAGAGGAAAAAGTATACATGATCAGTCCTTAGAAGGAGCAGTTTCACATGCTCCTTAGGTCTTTAATAAGAACTGATGAAATTTGTATTTCTGTAATGAATTAAAGACCCAAATGACAATAGAAAAAAAAAGATCCAGATTATATAACAGCTCTACAGACCTTACGGATGAAAAGATATCTGTTAGGTATCAGATTTGGGGCCCCCAAGATGACTTAGAACTCATACCTCAGCACCTCTTCTCATAGCCTTTGAGAAAAATGGTGCTTTGAGTAAGAACCTTTGAATTCTGTCCTTATCCCTAATATGTGTGTGTGGGGGGCGGGGGGTGCAGAGTGTGGTTAGAATGTTTGGGATCCCTAATATCACAGGCAAGGCAACAACAAGATAAAGTATTAAATAATGTTAATGCTGTAGAAACCTTGGAAGAGTTCAGACTAGTCTTTGGGGCATTGATCCTGAGCTCTGGAATGTCTTATGATCCTGAGTGGGATATTTCCCCTCTATGATTTCAGTTGTAAGATGACACTGTTCTTTTGCACCAGTACATGAGGCCTAGCTAATTAAAATACTATACTGGTTCATTCAAGAAGTATTTACTGGGTTCCTACTACATTCAAGGCATCGTGCAAAGAGACTGTGTAATATGACAAAAATTTAAAAATAGATAGCCATAAATAAACTCCATGATAGGATTATGTAAAACCTTTCAGATAATTTTAGCTCTTTGGATATACAAACAGGGCTTCCAGTTCCACTGTTTTGAATAAACTGACATGTTTTTTTCCACTACTACCCCTCTCTTCCAAATCAATTCATTCATCTTAGTCTACCGCCAATTTCCATCTATTTTCTAATGGTATGACCAGAGCTGCCATGTAATGTTGTGCCCTGCACACCAAGGGGGCAAACAGGGCAGAAATCCATTCTATGTTTTGCTGATTAAGCCATGTCACCCAGCCTGGGTCAGTGTCCACCCAAAGGAACAATTCTCTAATTTGAACAAATGCCCCCTATATGTATTAGCTGTGGCCCTGCTCATGTCCTCAGTTGGCTTACAAGCCAGACATAGAATAAATGGGCAGAGCTGTGTTGTGATCAAACAAGATTCATAACAAAGGCACATTGTTTTTTGTTTGTTTGTTTTTAATATATTTTTATTGTTGAAAGTATTACAGATATCTCCCATCCCCCCCCTTTCCCTCACTCCTCCAATCTCTTACCGCCCCCCCTCCCCCAGGTATAAAGACACATTTAATGGCATATATGGTGCTTATCTTCACTTATTTCTGTAAGTGGCCATATTTGGTGTCCTTTTTACTCAGCCAAGCCTACTGTGGGGAAGCAAAAAGAAAACTTGTTGGGGAAGGAGGCCACAGTGAAAGCCTTGGTGAGGTCCCCTGGAGCCACAATATGGGTTCCCCGTGGTCTGAGTGTTTCCAGAAATCTTATGTCCAGGAGAGTCCAAGATCCTGGGACCTGAACTCATACTTAACTCACTGAAAAACATCAGCATCTTCCCTCTGGTAGATTTTGACCTTCTTACTGAGAATCAAAGATGACAGGTGAACAAGAGGTAAACAACAGTGAAGATTTTAGGGGTACAATAAGGCGGATCAAGGAGTGTTAATTCTCACAGTGGGGCTTTTATTTACTCTCAGTGGGTGGGGAATAAGCATGGAGAATAAGCATATTTATAAAGGTGAGTCAGGCCCATCTACAATAAGCCAGTAGAAAAAAGACAGAAATTGGATTGAACCCTATTCTGATAAACATACTATCATTTTTATATTAAAAGGTTGCACTTGGGTCTAGATCTTTGTAGTTCCACTGAAGGTAATAATATGTCTAATAATTATTGTCCTTACTCTCCCACAGAAGACAGAAAGAATGAGATCACTTCCATAATCGGACCATGCATATTTCCAAGATTCCAAGCTACCAGGCAGAGATGCCAGAAGAATGGGACACTTTGGCTTTCTCTCGGGCCAGGAAATATGTGAAGTGATCCGGCTATTCACAGGGCACTGTAGAAACTCGCTGGCTGCTCTCAGGGGTGGTCCAAGGCTGTCCGTAGGGTCACAGTCATGGCACCCACGGTTCAAAGCTCTTGCATAATACATTCTCATGATGGAAGAAAAAGGCCACTTCATGATGTAGTGAGGTGCTCTTCACTGGTGGTATTCAAGTGGAGCCTGGATGCTCAAGTCAAAGGCACTGGAGAAGACATTGCTGGCCTTCATATGGAAGGATCTCTCCAGCTCTGAGATTCTCTAATTTACTTGTAAATCGTTGACAGATGGGATGTAGGGTAGTGCTGTATCATGAGACAAAGCAAAAGTTTGAGCCAAATGTGATAAAGGAGTCCATCAAAAGAGCTTGAAAGTTGACAGTTTTTTGGGAGCCAAAGAACGAAGAAACCTTTGTGGCTCCTGTCTTTCTGCCATAAATGCTCAGTCCTGTAATATCCATGTCTGTGGTGGGTGTGGTCAAGAGCTTTGAGCACTGGACTTGAGTCCATAGGGGGCAGAGGTGACCGTGGTTCCCACGGGAGAGACAACTGGAAAAGAGCTGTCCCCAATTATTGATCTGGTGCAGGAAGGTAGATGACTTCATTTTTCTCTGAAAGAAAGACTTTTTAGTCAGATACGTGCATTTTTCCTTATAGCTCAAAAAAAGATTATGCAACGTTCAGCAAAATCTGAGAAGCTGCCATTGACATTTTTAGCCTGCTTTGTCAAGATTCTCTCAGTACTTGACAAATTTTAACTCAAATTCACACACTCCACAAGATAAAAAGCAGGAACTCACAGTGTCTCGTTCTTGAGACAGGTGTGTCATTGTAAAACTTTTTTTAAATTTTCTTTTTTGTGTTGTTTTTTTGTTTGTTTGTTTGTTTTTTTGCTTCAGCCATTCTTATTTCTTAGATTGAGATTAGTGCTGTACTTTGTAAAGAGAACAGAATGATCCACTAACTCTGAGCTGATTTTCTAATAAAAGGGGTTGTTTTTTACTTTGATCTAATAATATGCTTTATACCATAGCACGTGAATTGGGGTTGAAATCTGTGGTTATGAAGCAAACCAAAGTCCTGGCCCACACTGGGTTCAAACCCAAAATCCGGGTCTCATCAATATTATGCTGTGATCAATATTATGCTGTGATCAACCTGAGCATCTACTGAAATCAGGGGTGGGAGTAGTGTGGGGGGGGAGATGACCTTAAAATACAGCAGAAATCATGTCTGTCTTTTGCATTCCTATATCCCAGCATCCAGTACAGTGCCTGGAACATAGTAGGTATTTAATACATATATATGGAATGAACGATTTCCCCAAGGTATCAAGAACCTATATCCCTCCCATTTCTCCTTCCCCTTTGCCTTACCCCAATTCCCATTTTCCAAAGGTATCTACTTTTCAACATTTTATGTGTTGAAAGATGAATTTAGAAGGAAAAGGTATTTCATATGATTGGGTCAGAAAATGTTTGTCAAAATGGGAAAACTTACTGATGTCTTGAAACAAAGGACAAAATAAAAAGTCAATAGTAATTAATAATAAGGATATAGTTTAGAAAAAGACAAACCAAGATCACTCTATCTTCTCTGACCCAACTTCTGGGAAGACAGTTCACCTGGACAGAAGTTGTCCTACTCTGTTGATGTCAGGCATCACCTAAGAAACAGACCACTCTCCTTGCAAGCATTATCCACTCGCGTGTTCCCAATATGGTGGGAGAGGTGTTCCTTCTGTGATCACAAAGTGTGGACCAACTCACATCTAAATGGAGGATAGAGTGGTAAGTGCAGAAAATAAAGTTTGTGGGGCTGTGGGAGTGATAATCTGCAGCCCCTTGGACCCTTCCACATGTCTCTCACCTTGGGGCCTCCTTCTCCGGGCCAGGAAGCCAATTCCAGCCAGGACCATGGTGAGGACAATGGACCCAGAGACAGCTTTGATCACCAGAAGGGTAGTTTCTGACCCTAAAAGCAAGCATATGGGGGGAAATCCACAAGTCCTTCTCCCGCTCTGTATATTAACTTTTGGGCACTTTTGTCCCTGTGATCATCGGGAAGCCCAACACCATTTTTCTTACTCCTGCTTCTCACTTCACGGATCCATGCAGGGCAGTCATCTAAAACAGGGGGACAGTAGCTCTCAAAGTGGGGTCTGGCCCCAGGGGTCTTCAAGCAAGACCCTTCAGAGAGTCCACGAGGTCTAAGTCATGACTTCCCTTTCCTTAGCTCTCACACGTGCACAGTGGGGCTTTCCAGAGGCTACATCACATGTGAGGACACCATCGCTCTGATAGCTCATGAAAGGTGTACTCGTATTTTCTTGAGTTTAAATGTTAAAATTTTTAATATAGTAAGTAGCAATAGAGAAAACCCACATAAATAAAAGCTTGTTGGGATCCTCAGTTTTTAAGAACACAAGGAATCCCTGAGACCAAAAGGTGAGAGAGCCTCTGATTTAAAAGACGCATTCTAAAGCATCCAGTGATCCCCCTCGCTGCTCGCCCCCCTTCCTCGTCTCACTTCCCAGACAGCACACCCTGTCCTTACCCTGAGGGACCTGAAGAACCATTTGGACGTCACAGTGCTCCACATGACAGGAGTAAAGGTCGCTGCTCTCAGAATCCATTTCCACAGATACCCATGTCTGATAGGTCCCGTCCCCACTGGGAAGAACACCTCCATAATCCATTTCTTGGATCATTTCTTCCCCATTTTTCATCCAAATCATGGAAATTTCAGGGGGGTAAAAGCCATAAGCTCTGCAGACAAGAGTTGTAATTCCTGGAAAAGTTTCTTTGCGACTTACTTTGACGAGTGGGGGCTCTAGGAAAAAGAAGATAAAGTGAAATAGAAATATCTTATGTACTGAGCATACACTATCAGAACTTGGTGACTGGGTTTCCCAATTAATTAATTTTCTTCATTGCAGGAAACATCTAAAACCAAGAATGACCCGGAACCCAGTTTCATCAACAACAAATTTATTGTGCACTTCCTGCTCGGGCAGTGTGCTCAAGAATAATGAATGTGTTGTTGAGCCATGTAACTGAGCTACAGAATTTGTATGTAACTGTGACAAGCAATTTAGCAAAAGTTTGGAGATTAGAACTCAGCACTCCTTTTTCTCAATTCTGTGCTTATGCAAAGATATCACAGCCATCTCCGCTCAGCTTTGGCTCAAGTTGGTACTTTGGTGATTGCTGTGGTTTGATTGTTTGTCCCCCCGCCCATCAAATTCATATGTTGAAATCCCAGCCCCCAAAGATGATGGTATTAGGAGGTGAGGCCTTTGGGAGGTACTTAAGTCATGAGGGTAAAACCTTCAAAAATGAGATTAGTGCCTTATAAATGAGGTTCCAGAGAAATCCCTTGTCCCCGGTCACCATGTGGAAACACAGCAAGAAGTCAGCAGTCTGCAACCTGAAACAGTGTCCTCATCTGACCACTCAGGCACCCTGATCCTGGACCTCCAGCCTCCATAACTGTGGGAATACATTTCTGTTGTTTGTAGGTGACCCAGCCTGTGGTATTTTCTATGGCCGCCGGCATGGACTACGACAGTGACTGTCGTCAGATACAAACATATGTAACGGGTCACGTCATGGTTATGCCCTCCAAGGGGCTATGGACATTCATATCCAGGAGGAGCTCCAGCAGTGACAGCAAAGAAACCGTCCATTTGTGGTCTTGCTTCCTCTGAACCATTCTGCTCGTTTTCCATACGGTGCTGTCCTTAGTGTTTCCTGTTGACTCTGGGTCACATCTAGACACGAGCCACCCAGAGCCCAACGCCATCCCTGGAGGGGCTGCTTCCTGTTTGTCTCTACTCACTTCCTCACCCCACGGTGCTACCTGCCACCGAGATACAGGAGGAGCCCTCGTCTCAACAATACCTTCCAGTTCTGTTTTCTGTGGCATATAGTTTAGAAGAAGAAAAGGCTTTCCAACATTAACAAGAAAATATAAACGCCTCCGAGAGGAACTCTGCTTGTTGCCTGTAAGAAATGATCACAGATCCTTTCCTAGGAGTGGGTTTTGACCAATGGGTTGAGACACCTTTAGGACACTCGTGAGTGGTAGAGAGTAGGCTTGGAGGGGGAGCAGCTATACTGAAGTTAGACTTCCCACACTGCTCACGCACACCCCAGGTATGCAAGCTTCCCCCATTTTCCCAAAGAGTACTCGCCCTCAAATCCCAGTTAAACTCTGTCTTCCTTCTCCTAGTGCTGGTTTCACTGAGAACGGCAGGCCTGGCAACTGGGTTCTCTGTTCAAAAAGGTCATGCCACTAATCACGCTGAGGAAGTAGAGACTCTCACAGCTTCTCTTCAGACCTGGCTGGCCTCGGCCTAAAATGCCTCATGATTAAGGGTTCCATGCAACCCCAAGTTGGCCCTAGACTTCAACCAGATCCTGAGCGGGCAGACGTTTTTCATTCTGGCAACAATACCATTTAATGGGTAAACAGAGACCTATAGTATACAAAGAGCTTTCATATACATTATTTCACAGCAATTTCTGTGAGGTAGGCATATCATTTACTTAATTTACTCACGGTTATTGCTTTGCTGGCCTAGCCTCTATTGGCCCCATTTTTTCTCATAACAAGAACCCCGTCTCCTGACAAGCACACTCCCTATATTGAAAAATTAGTCCACCCCACCCCAACATGTTGCTTCTTTTAAGAGGTACCATTCTTGCATATGCCCTGGCAGGAACTTGAACTGTGACCTCCTGGTTCATAGGTCAACGTTTAACCACTGAGCCATGCCGGCCGGGCAAGAGGTACCATTCTTAACCCTGACACCGAAACATAACCCAAGCTGTGTGTCCTGGCTGCTCTCTCTTTGCTAGCTCCCAGATCTAGTATCAGGCCGTCTGTGCCCTGCTCTGTGCCCCAGGAGGCTGTGCTCACCAGACTGCACTCCAGGGCTCCCTTGCCCCCAGCTACCCGTTGGGTCTGGCCTCTGGGAGGAGAACCCTTAGCAAAAGATCAGAAAACTAGAAGAGAGAGTGGCTAGGAATTTGTCCACCAGTTGCCCAGCCATTGCAGTCTGCTATTGACCATGGTCCTCCATAGCCACAGCTCTTGCTAGAAGGTTCTTCCAGGGTACCAGCCCTTGCGGGGTTCTGGTAACAATAGTCCCTTCACTTTCGCCTTCAGATCCAAGGGTAGTAATGGCTTCCCTCTGCTCCAAGTCCCTAAGTATTTCACTATCCCTTGCCCATGTCCTCAACCCTGATTGCACCTATGTAAATAATCTTGTTACTGACTTCCCAGTTAAACCATCCTGAGTGTGCCATTTGGTTCTTGTCAGGACTCTGTAACCCATGGTCAGTCTTAGAAACTTCTCCT